AGAAGTCAGAAGAGGGAGGAAGATCCCCTGGAGTTTGGTTTGAGGAGGTTGTGAGCTACCTACTACCTACCTACCAATGTGGGCACCTATTACCTACCTACCTACCTACCTACCTACCTACCTACAAATGTGGGTCCTTGACTGCCCCATATCTCAAGCCCCTTGTTTTTATTTCTAGTCACCCCCTGCCGTGTGTGTGTGTGTGTGTGTGTGTGTGTGTGTGTGTCTGTCTGTGTCTGCCTGCCTGCCTGGTTATGTGCAATTGAGTGCAGGTACCTGAGGAGGCCAGAAGAGGATGTCAGCTTTCCTGGAGCTAGAGATATAGAAGTTTGTGAGCCTCCAGATGTGGGTACTGAGAACCCTCTTGGATCCTCTTGGCCCCTGAGCCAAGCCCATCTCCTTTTTTTCCCATTGTAAGAACGTACCTGTTTAAACTTTTCTTTACTTATCTCCAAATGTCTGACGGAAACGAGCTGGGGTGCATGAAACATTTCAGCATCTGCTGGTCTTGTGTTGATCTCATTAACTAGCGCAGTAATTAATACCAGGCATGTTAATGGATGCTCTGGATTCTCTTGACAGTCCTGCTCCCTGTCTCCCTGTCTCACAGTCAATCCCTAAATGATGCTGATTGTCCCTCTTCCCCGCCCCCTTTCTGCAGCTGCCTCTGCAGTGTCCAGTTGTTTGCGTGGTATCATGGTCAAGCCCTTCTATGTCTTTCTGAGACAATAAGTCGCTTGAAGACAGAGTTCAAGTCTTACTGTCCCGGAACAGGTCTCCCGTTTACTCGATGGTCAGTAAATATTTGCTGATGAATAACCTTTGCCTTCTGTCCACCTCAGAAATGAACCTACCTGAAATTCTTTGTCTTTATTTTTCCTGGTATTTGATTCCCACTAGCCACGGAGCCTGTCTCCGAAGTCTGCATAAAAACTTAGCTCACATACAATTGAACGTGGTTGCTGGCTGCCCTGGTCTGTCTCGAAATCGAGACGACCTCCAGAATGGCACCATTCTGTGTCCCTCAGCACGAAAGAGGACCATCCTCCCCCTGCACCTCTGACTCCTACTCTTCCTGTCATTCTCCCAGCAGAAGAGCTCTCTCTGCCTATTTGTTTTCTTTGCCTCTTTTATTGCTTCGGTCAATGCAATAAGTTTTGGAGATGTGAAGAAAGTCTGTGTTTTCCTAACAGTGAACCACACCGCTCCCTCCCCTGAGCCATTTCTTGAGGGGCCTGCAACCACTTAGTAACGGATCTGAGTTGCTTGAAGGTACCCTTCATGGCTTCTTTGGTGTTGAGTCCCCAGAGGCAGCAACATACCCTGACCTCAAGACAGTGCTAACAAATGTGTATCCATCAAGTCTCCTTCCAGGCGCACTGTTCCTGCAAAGCTCACCTTCTGTCTTGACCCCTGTGAAGACACATCTCTTGAGGTTGTTTCTGCAATGGCTGATGTTTGGAGGATGAAAATAAAAATATTAAAAGCGAGAGTATTGACATGTAGCTCTGGCTAGTTATCCAGGGGATCTAGAATCAGCAAGATCTTTCCCAGTAGCCCTCTAAGGAACACAGTAAACCAGAGAGGGCTGGAATACCGTCTTTTTCTGCTTTGAAATCTTCTCTGTCCTGGAGTCCCGCCTCCTCCCAAGTGCTAGCTTCTATTTGCATACGTGTTCCTCTCCAGCCCCCTCTCAGCACAGAGAATTTTAGAGTGTTGTGTGACAACAGCCAATCCAGTATCTCATAATTGTTTTAAGGCAGAATCTCACTACTTACTCAGCCTTGGCTAGCCTGGAACTCGTTATGCACCCTTGAAATCTAGGTGTGTCTGTAGCTGCCTCCACATGCAAGCCTCTTCTGGGTCTCAGGGCGTCAGTTCTTGAGCAAACTGGAATCTTCTATGGCTTTGCTGGCCTTTTCAAGACCAGGGGAGTCACACAAACTCATGCATTCGACATCAGTGCTCAGTGTTGCAGTATTTACAAGCAAAGGGGAGTGGGTGCCAGCATCTGGGAGAGGGCCAGGCTCTGGAAGGTCCCCCCACAAAGCGGGTTGACGCTGAGGGGGTTGGTACAGATGTGTCATGCTGCTGAGATTTGCCTGTGTGTGTGTGTGTGTGTGTGAGAGAGAGAGAGAGAGAGAGAGAGAGAGAGAGAGAGAGAGAGAGAGAGAGAGAGAGAGAGAGAGAGAGTTTACCTGTCCTAACTTTAGCCAGGAGGGGAGGAAAGGCACCCAGTGCGTGGATAGCGCCAGCTGCTTCGTGAGATGTCCTGCTGGGATTTCTTGTACTTTTTCTTTGACTTTCACGCAGCATATACATTTACATTTAGAAATCGAGAAGCTTTCGTTGTTTTGCTTCTGTTGTATGATGGATGGGATAATGTGCGATAGAGTCTAGAGACAGCAGCAACCAAGTGTGTTCACTAAAAGGGACTCCCTTCTAGCGGGGTCTGCCTAAGCCATAGATGGGTACGTGAGTCTGGATGAGGGAGTGGCAGGTGAGGAAAGGGCTTAGCCTGGATTGATGCTTGCCCAGGAGCCATTTGTTTCTCTACAGCTTTGCTGGGAAGGAATTTAATGCTGGAGTCTGAGATGTGCTCTGCATGAAAACTAACCTGTGAAATTCCCTAGATGTGTGCCATTTCTTGAGGAAGCTTCCACCACTTAGTAAGAAATGGACCTTTCTGTTAGGAAGTTTGATTGTCCTCAGGGTGGATTTGTGGTCGGGGAACAGATCTCCTTCAGCAAGGCGTGGCTTTGCTTCCAGAAAAGCTTATACTGCAGAGCTGAGTGTATAGAGAAGGGCCGTATCTACCAAGAGGGTTGGGAGTTCTGGGGACACTGGCTTGGCTGTGCTCAGCCCACACTGGAACAGCATTCACAGGAGAGTGGAATGTTTGGAGCTTTGCTGAGTGTGTGGTGTGACTGGGCCTTGGATCTTAAACAGAGACACAGTCTAAGGAATGGCAAACAACCCTGCCTTTGACAGAGAGAATGAGAAGTTGACAGCCCATTCTTGTGGACCTGGGTGGGGTCCTCAGCAGACGGTAGAGGAATAAAGGAGTGGAGATAAAGGAACTAAGACAATGCTTGGCTTGTGTCTTTCCTGTCTTCCTGTGTCTCCCCAGACACACCTGGTGGTGAACCCACGGAGGCTTGTGTAGATTGATCCTCTTTTCCTTTTGTCTCTGTGTGTGTGTGCAGATTTGTTTACAAAAGGGTTTCTATCTTGAGGAATATGCACTGGGGGACAGACAGGGAAACCAGCAGAGAAAGGCATCTTAGTGGGGGTGGGGTGTGCGCTGTCCTTTGGTCAGGGAGGCCACTCCCTCAAGGTTGGCCAAGAGGCCAGTGGGATGATGGTTGGTCTTAGTTCGATCCAGGATTAGTTTTTACAACATTAGTCTGTGTCCCACCTGGGGGAACCATGCTTTGGGTAATGAGGTGTCCATCAGACGGGGAGAAGGCTTGCAAAATGCCTGTCCCATCTTTGCCTATGAGGAAAAAGAGAGAACCCCTTGTTTCCATCCCATTCTCAAGGGTGGTCTCCGCAGGCAGACACAGGTTGTGTGGGATGTGTGGGATGTGTGGGACGGGGCGTTGTTCAACTGACACCCGGAGTCCCAAGGAGTGTACTGGGAAAAGGCGCTCCCTCCACCTCCCCACCCCCATCCCATTTCCCATTAAAGCTCCTGGGGTTAAGATCCCTGCTATCTGTTTCCATCATCTTCCCTCAGAACTGCAAACTTAAAAATACCTTTCAGAGAAACTTGTTTGGAATTTCATTTTAATGGGATTTGTGAATAAATCTCCATCTTAATGCTGACTAAGCTCCAAACGGCTCTTCCAGGAGAACACTATCGGATTTTTATATTTTAAATTTTAAATCTCTTGACTCCAAAGGCATAAAACATTTTTGTATTTGTGGGAGTGCCATTTGCCTGAGCACTCCTGTTAAAGACTTTTTTTTTTTAAATCGGCTGGTGTGAAGAATTCCGGGCTGGGGTGGGGGTCTGGCTGTTGCATACGTCATCAGTCCCTTTCCGTGTCGAAGTCTGTGTGGGCTGTGCGGTTTCCTCTGTCCCACCTCTGAGGATGGGTGCCCTGTGGCTCCTTAAAAAAAAAAGTCTACTTTCTTCCTTCACGTTGAAACTTTTGACCTCAGAATTTCATTTTTAAATGCCACGAGCCCTCAGAGTCAGACTCAAAGACGTGTCTCTGTCACTCTGCACGAGCTTCCCAGCTGTGGAGACGAGAGATGGTCCCTCCCCCACCCTCACCCCCAAAAGAAAACCCACTCAGGACTGACCAGATGATGCTGGCCAGAAGAGGCAGCCTCCATTGGGGAGTTCGATGGTTCTGGGGGCAGGGAAGAGGCAGGTCTGTGCACAGCAGGTGCCACGGTTAACGCTGGAAGATGCCCTTGGAATCGGAGGTCCTACACGCGTGCCCACCCTGACACGCCAGAGAATCCTTGCCACGGGAGGAAGGGTGTGAGTTGATCAACTTGGTCGTGGTGACAGTTTAGCGGTGAGCTGTATGTGTGCACCTGTAGGACAGAGGTCAACATCGCTTGTCTTCCTCGATTGCTGTATGCCTTCGTTTTTTTTTTTTGAGGCTGGGTGTGGCTAGACCAGCTGCCCTGTAGCTCCAGGCAGCCTCCTGCCTCACTTCCCCAGTGCTGGGATGACAGCCCGCTATGCTGTGTGAAGGCACTAGCACGGAACACATCCTGTTAGAGACTGCGTCACCGGCCCAGCCCCGTGTGTTAGAGACTGCGTGACCGGCCCAGCCCCGTGTGTTAGAGACTGCGTCACCGGCCCAGCCCCGTGTGTTAGAGACTGCGTCACCGGCCCAGCCCCGTGGGGCGTGCTCTGTGCCGCCGATTGTGTCTTAATAGAAGTGTCAGGGGAAACGGTGCGGCGAAGGGTTTCCAAGGAAGCAGCACCCCACCCTGTGTCCTCCGTGGTTCAGGTCACTGTCCCTGTCTCCCCACAGATTCCTCGTACTCGGAGCCCCCCGACGTCCAGCAACAGTTGAATCACTACCAGTCAGCTGCCCTGGCAAGAAACAACAGCCGCGTTAGCCCCGTGCCCCCCGCCGGGGCTGCCGCTGGCACGGAACAGAAGGCGGAAGCTGTTCTCCACTGCGAATTCTGTGAATTCTCCTCTGGCTACATCCAGAGCATCAGGCGCCATTACCGGGACAAGCACGGGGGCAAGAAGCTTTTCAAGTGCAAAGACTGCTCCTTTTACACGGGCTTTAAGTAAGTGGTGTGAAGAGCAGTTGCGGAGAACCAAAGTGGCTGCCCCTGCGCCAGCCCTCACCACACTCGCCCCTCACGTCTCCCTGTCTGTAGCTCCAGGGAGGTTCTGCCAGTGTGTGAAATGACAGTTGGGTTCGGTCTTCACAGAAGGAAGCTAGTTTCAGAAAGGCTACTTTGGGACCCGTGGAAGTGGGTGAAGAGTTACATAAGAACAGATGATCAGGGCTTACAGGCTTCTAAAGAATGTGGGGTTGGATCAAAGGACTGCCCTGGTCCAGTGCATGGAACAGGACACATTTTTCTTCCATAGAACATCCCCTTCCTGTGTGTGTGCGTGTGTGTGTGCGTGTGTGTGTGTGTGCGCGCGTGTGCATGTGCGTGTGTGCGTGTGTGTGCGTGCGTGTGTGTGTGCGTGTGTGCGTGTGTGTGTGTGTGTGTGTGTGTGTGTATTAAACTCTAGGCCTTGTTTTGGGTTTTTTTTTTTAAGCAAATGTAGACGTAGTAAGGAAATGTGAGAAAGTACTTGTTGGAGGAAGGCTACCAAAGGGAACCCTCTCCCTTCCTTGAAAGAAACTCTTTACCATTTATTTTTTATTTTATTTATTTATTTTTTGGTTTCTCGAGACAGGGTTTCTCTGTGGCTTTGGAGCCTGTCTTGGAACTCACTCTGTAGACCAGGCTGGCCTCGAACTCACAGAGATCCGCCTGCCTCTGCCACCCAAGTGCTGGCATTAAAGGTGTGTGCCACCAACACCTACCAACTCTTTACCATGTATTTATCCATCCATTTATGTGTGCACACACCCATGGGACCGTGCACGTGGGTCTCTGGGGGCCCCACATTTGTAGGGGGTCTGTTCTCCCCTTCTGTCCTGTGGGGATCGAACTCAGATCACCAGACTTGGCAGCAAACAAGCACCCTTTCCCCAATGAGCCATCCTAGCCGCCCTCGATGCGCTCGCTGTGAGGCATTCGAGGATTAACATGTGAGATGGGTGTGTGTTGGGGGGAGGTGGCAGGGTCTCCCCACTCTCAAGCTGCTGCGCTCCTGAGTTGAGGGGGGACCTAGTCGCGGTCACCAGGACCGACACCCTGAACAACCTGGTTTCACCCCTCCCACACTGAGGTGTGAAAACCCCACCACGGGCCATGGTGAGTCAGCCGGCGTTTAAGACCGTCCTTCCAATGCCCAGTGTGAGACAGAGCCCATCCTCCGAGGCGTGTTGCTCTTGAGTTATTTAATAGACAATTTGTCTGTGTGTGTCGTCTGTGTGGTGCTGGGCGCTCTACCCAGGCCCTCACTAAGTTGTCCGGGCTGGCCTTGAACTCAGGAGTTGGCCCACACTAGCCTCGAGCTTGTGGCCGTCCAACCTCAGCCCTGAGTGACTGCCATTTGCAGACAAAGCTCCATGAGACCTGGCAGCAGGCGATGCCTAATGTGTAAGAATGAAGTGTCTAGGGCGTTTATTTCGTCTTGCACAAATCCTTGGTCCCAGCCTGGTAGCGAAGGCTCTGATGGGTTGCCTCCGTGTTCACTGCTGGGCGAACCGGCCAAGGGTTAACGGTCAGCAACCGTAACAACCAAAGTTCAGGCTTCTCAAGCGGGAGCGCCACATGTGGACATCTGCGGGAGGCGTGCCGGCGGGAGGGACACACGTCAGTGACACGTCAGTGACTGTCCATGTCCCCTCTCTCTCCTAGATCTGCTTTTACGATGCACGTGGATGCTGGGCATTCGGCGGTCCCCGAGGAAGGCCCCAAAGATCTCCGCTGTCCTCTCTGCCTCTACCACACCAAATACAAACGCAACATGATCGACCACATAGTGCTGCACCGAGGTAACTTCAGACTAGCGGGAGGCAGGGCCACAGCATTCTGAGGAATGTTCCCTGTGGGAGACGTCACCCTTGCCCTCTCCCCTGAGCTTCCCTCCCCCAGGCAGGAGTCACAATAAGAACCACCGGTATCTGATGGATATAAGACACATGCCTATCAGTGGAATTCCTTCCTGGAGGGAGGCGTGGGGGCAGGGCGGGGAGGGTCTCAGGAACCCTTCCATCTGGGTTCTGGGGGTCAGGAATTTCCCATTCAGAATCCCTTGCTGCCAAGGGACTCCCGCTATGTGTGAGTAAACCTGGGGAGGGAAGGCCCGAGACACAGAGACAGAAAAGATGCCTCCCAAAGGACAAAGTGAGCTTGGCTTTGAAGTGGACCGGGAGAAAGAGTTCCGAAGCACGGGAGCGGACTGCTGGGCGAGTATCGGTGGGTTGGGCACTGGGTCGTTCTGGTTTGGATCCGGCTCTGCGTAGCTTCTCTGAAAGAGGCAGCCACTCTGTGACACAGTAGCTGGTGGGGTTCCCAAGGCGCACGCACGGCGACACGGTCCTTGAATGAGAATCCCTGCCGATCAGCAGGGATCCCTACGAGAGCACTTGGCCTGCTTCACGTTTTGTTTTGCATTTCTGAAACAGGTCTCTCAAGGCAATCCAAGTTGGCTTCAAACTTTAAATCCACCTGTGTCTGCAACTCCCCGGAGTTGCTGGAATCAGAGACAGGCATGGGCTGTGCCACTTGGACTTCTTATATTTCTGAGCGTACACTTGGCCAACTCAAACATCATTAGCCAATGGGAGTCCTTTGTACTGGAAGGAAACGTGTCAGCGACACACTTTGGCCAAAAGATCCTCCTGCCGAGGGTGGGTGGAGACAGGAGGACCATTGCCCGTCCCGTGCGTCCTGCAGTCCGCTCCTCTTTGCAGCCTCCCACCCTCCTCTCTTCCTCTTCCGTCCCATCATCTTTCTCTTGCCTCTAATCCCGGGAAGCTTCCCCGTCTTTGCCACACATGCCCAAAGCAGCATGCATCATCTACTTTCCTGCCTCGGTGGGGACATCTGTAAGGTGGCTGGCATTTCCCCAGCACCACTCCCTTTATTTAGGCAGCGTGTCTGCGATGTGCCCCTGTCTGTCCAAACCTCATGGAAGACGCCACAGCTATGGCGCTCTGCCTGTTTCTTCCTCCCATCGCAACCTAACGAATGACATGAGGGATGGTGGCTGGCCCGGCCAGCCACCTGTGAGCCAGGCAAAAGCAGCACAGCAGCGTTCAGGCAGGAACTCTTGGCCCTCAGCGTCCTGCCTGGTGTTTTGCCTCAGCCGCCTGGCTTGTGGCCCCCCGGCCCACGTGTTTCAGTAGCCGTGTGCCCCATCCCAGCTTGGGTGGAAGCCATCAGTGGTGCCGGTGCCCAGAGAACATCAGCGGTGAGTCCTTGCTGGCTGCAGTGAATCCTCACTGGCTGCAGGCATTTCCAGTATTGCTGCCCGGTGTGGCTCAGGGCTTTGACGGCTGACAAGCTCAATGACTTTCCCCGTCTGAGCTCAGACCTAAGGAAGGCAGAGGCAGAGTCATTCTGCACAGAGGCCAGGAAGACCTGACACAGAGCTCCCGGTACCCAGGTGCCTCATCGTCGGCACCGTGGGCAGCACCGCCACCGCGTGGCCTCCCATTTCACAGATGTGAAGCTCAAAGCCGAGAAGTACCACGGGGTTTTTTTTGGCTCGTCTGTGTCCTCTCTGCTTTTCAATCAGGGTATCTACTGGAGCTCTGCCTTCATGTCACCAAGGGCTTAAAGCAGCCCAAAGTCAATTCCCGCAGAGTTGTTGCACCAAAAAAAAAAACAACAACAACAACAAAGGAACAGAAGAAAGCTGATGTGGAAGACGGCGAGGCCCACGGAAGGTGGGAGAGGCCGTGGGAGCCGTCTCAGCCACGGTTTGGAGACGCCTTGAGTGTTCAAGATCCCCATCTTCCGTTAGCCACGCCTGCAGATTTGGCCTTGGCATCTTTGCCTACCAGGAGGGGAAGAAACAGAATCATTTGGCTCTGGGGTGTTTGTTGAGCAATTTCGGTTCTAGATAGCTGAAGTCTAGAAGGGATCTCTACAGCGAACAGAGAGGGATGCTACGGTGCACAGTGGACCTGACACACACGCACACGCACACACACATGCACACACACACACACACACACACACGGTGCGTGCTGGACGCCCCGTAACGTGAAATGCTGGAGGCCAGGAGGGCTTCAGAGTTCTCAAGCATTCAGACTTTGGAATGTGTGCATGGAATGTCAACTAAGCACCCTTTACCCCCAGTCATGTGGGCGCTGACAAAGTTGTGGATTTCGGGTATATCGTCTATTCCAGAGTCTTAGAGAGCTAAAGTAACTTAGCCAGGGTCACTCATCCCGCAGTCAGGGAAAAAATCAGCCCCAATCTTTTGTTCCTATGTCTCATGCCACCCTGTTTCATTGGTGGTGTGGTCTCTTCTGTTTGCCTCAGGGAGAGGGTTTTCTGGGTGTGTGAATATTGTGGATGTGGTCCCAATATGTGCCGTGTGTGAATATTGTGGATGTGGTCCCAATATGTGCAGCGTGTGAATGTTGTGGATATGGTCCCAATATGTGCAGCGTGTGAATGTTGTGGATATGGACCCAATATGTGCAGCTAAGGGTCAGTCGTGATGGCCAGAGCCTTGACTGCCATGAGTGAGTGTTTACTCAGCCATGGGCGCCATGCTGAATGCTTTACAGTAAGCTCACCAAACCCAGCATGGTCTATATGACTGCTATTCCTGATGACAAGCAACAAAAGCAGGTTCAACACAAAAGCTGAGTAACTTCCCTACGGCCCAAGGACTCTTGGGTAACGGGCTGGGGCTGGAACCCAGGTGTGTCTGACCCACAGCGCTTGCTTTCAGTCCCAGGCATCACTGTGTCACCCTTGGGAAGCTGGTGTCACCTGTTCAGTGTGTTCTAGGGGCGGTGGAACCTGGTCTTAGGATAGAACTCTCTGTAGGGCTGGCGGTCAGAGGCGAGGACCCCAATCCACAGGTGGCAGAGGGCCCTCAGTCAGCTGTACCTGCCGATTTCTGCCTCTGGCGTCCGTCCCCGGTTGAAGGCAGATCAGAGAAGCTGGTCTTGGCATCTCAGCGGTGCGGTCAGATGTCTGCCTTGCAGATCAACACTGGGGCTGATCCCAGAGTAATAAGATGAGGGTTCTGCACCTGTGCACTGCCTGCTCTGGATGAATAAACATCTTTGGTCTCTGGGGTCCACAGCGTGAGATGTTTCTGAGGCCTCAGTTAATTAAAAACCTTGGGATGAAAGGCAAGAAAAACAACTTCTGAACTGGCCCCGAGACAGACCTGCTACTGCCAAGGATAACTGCCATCTCTTTTTGTTGGGACACAGTGATGCATTTAAGCAGGGGGGAACAGAGAGGAATCCATCCCATGGAAGTCTGAATGAGACCTACTCGAGTGTGTGTCCTGGCCATGGCAAGGGGAGCTGACTCATGAGTTCACAAATACTCATTATTTTCTTGTTACCCACTGCCCTCCGTGTGGCTGTTTGTAGATGATGGAGTATAGAAAACCCACACTTGGTCTCCTCAAGACAAACACATGCAGAGAATATCCAAGACAGTGAGTGATGGGTGTTCAGGAGCCCTGTTTATGTTCCAGAAAGAGATAGGTCATGGACAAAGGTGGCTTTTGGGCTGGCCATGGTAGCGTTTTTCACAGGGAAGGCTTAGATAGGCTATGCTGAGATACGTGGCTACCAACTCAGTATTCTCTTCTAGTTATAGAGGCTACAGTTATCATTAGGGTCGTGCATCATGTAAACCTTCAAGAACACCATCCTTGAAGGGGTAAGGAGGACACAACTCAGTGAAAGATCATTTTCCTAACCTGTGTGAAACTCTGGCTTTGATTCCAGGTCATGCTATAGTTCCTCGGGGTTCTTTGGTGTCCTTAGCTCATAGTGGTGTCCATCCAACTTCTGCTCCCTCCTTCTCAGGGACTCATTCCCAGTGTGTTTCTTTCTGTGACTTCTTGTATAAAACATCAGGCATTGAATTTTAAGCCAGTCCTAATGTAATATGACCTCTCTCATCTTAACTGCATCCAAAGCCTCTATCCCAATAGTCATATTCTGGGGTTCCAAGTGGACGTAAACTTGGGGGACACTATCAACCACTACCTGGGCTGGTAATTATTTAATAAACCGTGGAACCCAGTGAGAGCAAGACCTGTTTGCAGGATGGTACCAGACTATTCCTTAAGATAATAGGAGGCCTTGAAGAAAGTGTGTTCTGGAGGCTGGTTGAAGCAAGGGATCATTAGACCTATTTCTTTCTTTAAGAGCTATGGATTTAGATCAGTCAGCATGTGTTTGAGACTTGGTAGTTTAACTTGGAAGTTTGTTTCATGAACTCATTTGGTAGGACTTTGGGTGAGTTTTCATTTGAGCAATGGATTTGTGGCACACCTGCCGGTGTTCTGAGAAACAGGGCAGCTCAGCCGTGAAGAACTAGGCAACATAGGGAAGCTGAACGTTAGCAGGAAGAGAGGTGAATGGAGCTCCATGACCGCATGTCTGTGCGAGCACAACCGTTGGAAGCACGGTGCCTGCCCACAGCTTCCCCAACCTTTATAGCAAGCCTGGAAATTAGGGTTCATATTTAATTGTAGGGCTGAAACCGTTTGCCCCCCTCAGTTGGCATGTTGACTTCAAGGTTCTGTGTCCTGCTTTAGTAATTGAATGCTACCTGAAGGGCTAAGCCTTGAAGGTGGGCATCCTGAATGAAAGTCATCTCCCCTAACTTTGGTTTTAGGAGAGAAAAATCAATCAGACTGACAATATTATTTAGATTTAGTGAAATTATATGTTCCCTCCCATCAGGATCCTTACGTGATAGAGGTATTAACTGTTCCCAGCTCTGTCTAGAAACCAGCTAATGCCAAAACCTAATGACTGCTTACCAGGAGACGGCTGCTTGTGCTTGTGTATTTGTGACTTTATTTTAGGTTGCTTTTTAAAGATAACGATGTCCTTTTCTTTTTCTTCTCCCCGTGTTATCCCTCTAACTTCTCACTTTCCCCATTCTTCTCTTCCTCATCATCCCCCCACAAGCCCCTAGAAATAGGGTCTTACAGAGACCAACCTGACATGAAACTTAGTAGTGCCTTACCCAGGCTAGCCCCAAACTCTCCTGCCTTCCTCTACCAAATGTGCTGACATGGAACTAGTGTTGCTTCCTCAATGGTTCCCTTGGTCTTCAGCCTTTGTCATGCGGCTGTTCATTAATGAGTAGTGAATGGGTCTTTGGGCTCAATTTTCTGGGTTGATGCCTTGCACATAAAGTTTGTGGTTGTAAAGGAATCCCAGCTTTTTCAGTGCCTTATTTAAGATTTGGGGTGTTCTTGGAAGGGAACTCAAGAGTGTTGCAGAGCTCTTTCCGGAAGAGTTCTTGCCTGGAGACTCCGGGCTCCAGTCTTGCAACTTCTTGCTGAGAAATGACCCTCAGCCCCTTGGTTGTGTTTCTACAGCTTTTCTGCTGGGCTCCTTGGCATCTTTGCAGCGTACTCAGCCCTGCTCTTGCTACAGCTAAGGACACGGGTGTTTTGTGTATCGTCACCCTGGAGTCCAGACTCTCCAGTTTCACGTCTCAGCTGTAGTAGGGAGTGCCATTTGAGTAAGAGGAGATGAGACTGACCATCCATCTGTGGTGAACGGGTGACATCACTGTGGTGTTTTTTTTTTTTTTTTTGCAACCTTCACTGGGAGTTGTCTGAGTCCCAGTGGGTATCCTTCAGGCCATTTCTTACCCAGGGTAATTTGAGAGGTCCAGAAAGACCCATGAGTTCTTATAGAAACATGAGCTCTATAGCCAAGGCAGCATCCAGTCCATACCTGGAACATTCCAGTCTAGCTTGCCATAATACACATTTATGTAAGTAAGGGATTTGGTCCATCTTAACTTGTATCTTAGTTTGGGAATGGGAAGTCTTATATTCCTTTTTTCAATTTTTAAAATTCCATTTAGCTATTTATTGGTTTTGGGGGATTGTGTAGAAGCCTTCAAATGATAACACTAATGTTAACTGATGTTTCCGTATACAACACTGTAACACCAAATAGAGCTTGCCTCACAGCAGGCTTTTTAATCAATTGTAAAGTTATTGTTGCTGTCAGCGTTTGAACTCCGGGGCATGACTCTGAATGCTTAGACCTTTGGGTAAAATTCTTAATGGTGCACCATGAAATTAGAAAGTGCAAAGAAAGCTAACCAAGGCGCTAGAGAAATTGAAAGGGAGACCCATAAGAAAGGGGGTTAGGGAGAACCAATAATGGGCCATGGGAAACAGACTGTTGAGTGACTGAATGGCTGTCCTCGTGGCATTTGAGGCATTGTCACATGGAAAAGTGTGCCCAGCTGTTCTTCATCCCCACTGAGGTTGACAGATCTAGGGCAGATGGACCAGGCTGGAGCCAAAGAATAAAAGAGGAAACAGTAAAGATGACAAGATAAATCAGGAACAAGTATAGCGGGAAGAGGAGGGCCGAACAGCCTCAAGGAAGTGCCAAAAATGTTCGTGGCGGCAGCCCTTTCCGTGAGCTCAACCTCAGCCTGCCTGTTGGTCCCTGTTGTGGCTGCTCCTCCTCTTCCCCTACGCAGCAGTTGAGGGTCTTGGTCGGTTCTACCTTAAGTGGAGCCACGATAGCTCATGCCTGGTGCTGCTGAGTGTCCTCCGGCCTCGCAAAGGGTGCACTACTCTGCCGGCATTTGGGGGTATCCCAGGAATGAGCACTAGAAGAATCCTGTGGGTGAAGCCTGAAGAAGCTGCTAAGCGCTCTACAATCCATAGGACAGTGCCCCACAACAAAGAATGGTCCGGCCCCCAGATGTCAGCCACGCTTCTCCTAAGAAACCCAGGAGTTAGGGAAGGCCTTACTCTCTCCCAGCAGCAGATGGGAGGTGGGGGCGAGTGGGGGGGGGGGGAGTGGGAAGAGGGGAGGGAGGGGAAAATGGATATTGGAATGTAAAAAAAAATTAATTAATTAAAATTAAAAAAGGAAAAGAAATCCAGGAATAAGGTGGCAGAAGACACTAACATGGACTTCTCCAGGCTCAACTAGTCTATGCCAAGGCATCTCCCATCCGGTTACACCAAACCGTGCAACTGAATGGCTTAGAAGACTCTTAAACATTTGCTATTCTAAGAAAATGTGTGGATTACTTTATAATCATGTGTTTCTGAGATGTCTGCTATACTTTAGTTTAAAAATATTTATGTTTCTAAATAAGCAACTGACTCTTTGTATAGGGAAAATAACATATGCATTCCATCTCTGGGGAGTATGCTGCAGATATCACCCTCCACGTGTTCCCTGCCCAGCATTTTGCTGGCCGATGAGGCACTGCTTTCAGGGGCTCCAAGGCAGCGAGTGCCCCACAGCTCGAATGCTGCGGTTGAGATGAAGACATGATTTTGGGTGGGGGACATTCCCCGGGGCCCGAATGCAGCCAGTAAGGACGGGGAGGCTGGAGGAGGCAGTCTCATCGGCAATGCAAAAGACTGGCATCGCTACTCGGTGTCTCTGGGAATAAAATCATGCTTTTTCTGACTTAATAATACATCGCTGTGTCTAAATAATATAAGTATATGTTGTGTGCATCCATTTGTAAACTTCCAGAGTCTTCTGAAATCCAGACTCAGCAGGAAAACACATGCTATATTTGATTCTTGCATATATAGCACAGATTTTAATTTTATCCCAGTTATGGATATCTGGCACGTGTGCCAATACTCTGGGCAGACTGGTGTGAAATTTAATTTGAGCAGTTAAACACAAGGGTGAGAGAGTGCAAAATACACAAGCGCATGCATTTCCAGCCCTACAACAGTTGGTGTGTGAGTGGGAGAGGCACCCGAGTCTGCTACTCTTCCCTGCTTTGAGGTTTCTCCCTCCGGTGGCAATCGGATCGCAGACTTCCCTAGACCGGCACAGTTCTTCACTGGTTCCCCCTCGGTGCTGCCCACAGCCACTTCACTTGTAAGCTAAGTGTACTGGTTGGTTGGTTTCTAGGTTTGCTGTTCTATTTGCGAGTCCCCTGGCTGTTCTACTTGAGAAGGGAGTCTTCGAGAGCATCTGCGGGGGGGGGGGGGGGCAGGCATAGAAGCAGTATTGAAGCCAGCCTGGGTATCATGGCTCGGGTCTGTCCGTTGCAGTGTCAGTGAACTTTAGACCGTATCTTCAAAGGTCGTGCCGCTCCGGTGACGCACCTCAGTGACAGAGGGCTTGCCGAGCACGGCTGAGATCCCTGCTTTGATGCCCAGGTTGTAAGTGGGGTTCCGCTCCTTATTGTTTGTTCTGAAAACGGGAGTAAACTGGAAGTCATGACGTCATTAGGAGGGGAGACACAGCGGCGGTGCTTAGGTGCCCAGTTAAGAGCCGTTTCCTTCCCTCGGAGACACCGGGCACCCAGCCGTCGTCGCCCCCGCGGAAGAATGTTATAACGGTTTTGGTCAGTGGTTGTTAATGTTGGTAAAGGTGGCAGCCACTTCCACGCCCTCCCTGCCTTCGTCGCCTCCATTCGGAAGTTGCCTAGCGCCTTCCCGCCTGCCCCGCATCTATTTACGCCTCCCTCCTGCTGTGAAGTACACAGAAGCTTTTGGTCTTCCAAGTAGCCAGCTGTGCCAAGTGGGGGAGCCAGGGAGGGACAGTGTGCATGGGTGTGTGTTGTCCACAGACCGAGACCCCACCCCCCCGTCCCCGAGAAGTATCGCGATTGATCCCCAAGAAGGAACATCTGCTTTCCGTCAGTAAAAACCGCCCATCTCTCCATTCGATTTGTTTCCACAGAAGAGCGAGTTGTCCCCATTGAGGTGTGCCGTTCCAAACTGTCAAAATACTTGCAGGGAGTAGTTTTCCGCTGTGATAAGTGTACCTTCACCTGCTCCAGTGACGAGAGCCTCCAACAGCACATAGAAAAGCACAAGGACCTGAAACCTTACAAATGCCAGCTCTGCTACTATGAGACCAAGCACACGGAGGACCTGGACGGCCACCTTCGGGACGAGCATAAGGTACTTACGCCCAGGACTTCCTGCCTCCCCCCGCCCACCTCAGGACTCCTGTGGGGAGGGCCCCGGTGGGGAGACAGGTCAAGGTATGGGGAAAACCGGTCTTGGAAGTCATACCCACTGTGTGCAGGACGGGGAGCCGAGTTAAAGTAATAATCACAGTAAACGTTCATATTCTTAGAATAAGAGACATAGGAGGTCATTGTAGAACTTGTTAAAGGAAAATAGGTAGGATGAGTAAGTCACTCATAACCTCCACCCTCTAAAGCTTTGGGCGGCCTTTTCTATACTTGGTTTCATGTGTTTTATGTAATTTTGTCTATACTATATGTAAAGTACCTTCTCTCGCCTTTTTTTTTTGTACTGACTAAAATTTTTCTGTCTTCCAAATCTGTTTCGTTATCAGTGTCAGCAGACTCCCTGTAAAGGGCAGGCAGTAGCTCTGCTGGCCTTTGTGGGCTGTGTATGATTTCAGTGGCAGCTGCTCAAACCCACTATTGCTACAGCAAGAAAGCAGTCTGAACACAGTAGTGTCCGAATAAAACTTTATCCAACAAATAATGACAGTCTTTGGGCTCTTAGTTGGCAGCCGCTTGAACACTCAGTCATGGTCCTTCTTACCAGGGTTTTGCTGATTACAGAGACTTTCGAAAGCATCATTGTGCATATCTGAGCAATCTAAGAAATTGATTTTTTTTAATGGATGAGAAAGGACACATGATGGAGTTTGTGGGGTAAATTCTCTTCCGTGGTTTTGCTGAGAATTAGAGCCATGCATGATGGCTCTCTTACTTGGTGGTATAGGGTTTATTTGGCTTACTGTGGCTCTAGGTGATTACTCCAGGTTTTGAATAGGGCCCCAGGCACAGGAGGAGTTAGGATTAATATTTGTTTCCTTTCTAATTAACTGAGTTCAAAACACCTAGTAAGCATTTACTCAAGGCGTAATGAAAAGTGCTTTTGATGTCATTTCCCTTATTTCTCGTTCTGTATCCTCTTCAGCAGAAACTCAGCCACTCTTTCTGGGCCTTTCAGTCCCAAGTTATAAATATTTTGGCCTGAGTCATCTCTTGGTAAGGGCCAAAGCTTTGTCTCAGGTCCACAATTTGATGGCTTGATGGCAGCTTCCGGTTGCCCATGACTACCCCTGAAGTAAAAGCTGAGAATAAAAGCCTAGATTACCTCAGTGGAAATTTCCATATCCTTTAAAGCTTCTGCCTTCCTGGGCATTTCTCATCCTAACAGGGGGAAATGTATTTCAGGTCAAGCGTCTTGTAGTCATTCATGTGGGTATCATTTATGCACAGTCATCCTCTTATTATAGCATTCCAGCCTTCAGGCTGGTCTCCGGAAACGGGGCAAGTCAGGAAGAAAAATTCTCCCCTAGTTTTCACAGAGACTACTAGGAAATCCAGAGAATGTTAGAAACCAAGCCAAATAATGGAGTCATAGGCTTCTGGAGTGGGGATTGAAGGCTGGAGCTCGGGAATGTGGGCTGGGTAGCGGGGTTCTCCAGAAAGACAAGACAGGGCCAATTTTAGGACTTTTAGAACAAAGAAATCCTAGAAGTAACTTTGCTCGTTGTGCATGCATTAGGAAGCTGCTCCGATATGCTCAGAAGCCTGGCACGAGTAGATGAAGTCCTCGTTCTGATTGTCAACTTCCTACATGTGACACTCAGTCTATGTTCCATAGACTATTTGTGACCTGAATTGTGCTCCAATATAGCGAAAACTCTGTGGAGCATAAAGGCAACCATGCCCTCGAAGGCCTGAAATGCAAAGTTGGCAATGCTATCTTATAGTTTAGATGATTTTTGTTATACTTTTGCCATGCTATGGTATGTTTTTAAATTTTGTCCTTTCTTGTGGTTCACGAAGTGCCAATGAGTACCTGCCTGAGCCAGAGGAGTCGCCTCTTTGTGCATGCCCAGTGGTCTCCATCTTTGTGTCTGTTACTAAGTTTATGAGATTGATCATAGATAGTAGCCCTTTCTTTTTTTTTTTCTATTCTTTTTTTCCTCTCCTAAATGATGACCACATAGTGATGTAATTCAGTGCAGTTGAAACTGGATTTTCAGGTGATGGACACTGGTGTTGAACACTAGGAGAGCATGGTTGTTCATCAGGGTGAACGGTATGCAAGTTTCAGAATTCATGGAAAAGGCTGTCAGTGTGCTCAAGGAACTTGCTGATAAAATGTTAATGACTAGAAGACAAAAACAAGGAATTAGAGGCCTGAGAGAAGTAGCTAGGAATATGACTTGTTTATTCACAAATCTGAGTAGCTAAGAAATCCTGATGAAATTATAAGGAAAGCTACTAGAATACTCAGGAGCTTACTGAGGTAGCAGAATATAAGATAGGTACACACACACACAAAAATAAATTCCTCAATAATGAAAACAAGCATTGTAAGAGATTAATTTTAGCTATTAACATCAAAAGGAAGGAAATCTAATTTGGGATAAAATTAACCTAAGATCTGTAAGACCTACAAAGTCCCACTGGGAGAAACAGAAGACCTACATTATTGTAGTCCATACAAGGTTCATGAAAATAGGCAACTCATTCAGTATTGATCATTTTCCCTAAATTGACCTACAGATTTAATACAATCTCTGCCCAAACTTGGCAAAGTTTTTGGTTTTGGTTTTGTGTGTTTTGTTGTTGTTGTCGTGTTCCTTGGGGGGGGCGGTATTTCCAGACAGGGTTTCTCTGTGTAACATTCCAGGTTGTCCTGGAACTCGCTTTGTAGACCAGGCTGCCCTAGAACCCACAGAGATCCGTCTGCCTCTGCCTCCTGAGTGCTGAGATTAAAGGCGTGCGCCAACACCATCCAGTGAGAAGTTTGTCTTGTTTTTTAATAGAAATCAATCAAACTGAACCTAGAATTTATGTCATAGTGCAAATGGCATAGATTAGTCCAGTGGTTGTCAACCTATAGATCATGACCCCTTTGGGGATTGTCAACCTATAGATCATGACTCCTTTGGGGGTTGTCAACCTATAGATCATGACCCCATTGGGGGTTGTCAACCTATAGACCATGACCCCTTTGGGGCTGTCAACCTATAGATCATGACCCCTTTGGGGGGCTAAATGACCTTTTCACAGGGGTCACATTTCAGATATCCTGCTTATCAGGCAGATATCTATGTTTTGATTAATGACAGTAACAAAATTACAGTTATGAAATAGCGATGAAATAATTTTATGGTTGGAATTACTGCAACATGAGGAACTGTATTAAAGGGTTGCACCTTTAGAAAGGTTGAGAACTGCTGAATTTGTGTAAATGGTGAAGAGAAACAAAGTTGGGAGACTCAGCCCTTCTTGCTTTCAAAACTTAAGTGAAGCTACAGTATTTAAGAGAGTGTGGCGTTAACACAGGAACAGATACACAGTGTAAAGGAGCAGAAGAAAAAGTTTAAGAATAGATTGCCATGTGAATGCAGCCAACTGATTTTCATCAAGCATGTTAATAATACAACAGAGAGATGGTGTTCTTTCAAAGATAGTTCTGGAACAATTGGATTTGCTTATATAAATTTCAACCCTTTGTCTTTATATAAATCTACACAAAAACCAGTTAAAATTGATCATATTTGGGCTAACCTATAAACAGTGAAATAGGGTATTCTGAGACATTAGGTGACAGAATAATACTTAGATAAGGCACAAAAACAGTGGCCCTTAAGGGGAAAAAAAGAATTTAAGTTGAATGTCATCAAAATTAAATGTTTGCTTTTAAAGGGTAGCATTAAGAAACAGACCTGAAGCAGACATTTGCCAAGTATTTATGGGCCAGGCCATAGAACCAGCACCCACGAAGAACTATTTCAGTTTTAACCAGAATGAGTGAAAGGTCTGAGTAGACACTTTTCTAACAAAGGATAAATTAATGGGTAAATGAGTCCATTCAAAGATCCTTGACACAATCTACCACTTGCAAAGTAGAGATTAAAGAAACATTGTTTTCACTATCTACCAAGGGAGTCAATACCAGGCTGTCAGTACTAAGCTGTCAGTTCTAAGATATCCCTGAGGATGGGAGAAAGTGAAAAATGTAGGATGCTGGTAGGGGCGTGAAAGTGTGTAGCCACTTGGGAGGAGTTGGGCAGGCGGTGTAGACGTTAGCATTGTGTTACCATCAGACCCAGGAATCCTACTCCGGCTGTCTTCAATGTCGGTTTTTCATTATTGTAAAGAAACGTCATGACCATGCTTACAAAGAAAGCAGTTAATTGGAGCTTTCTTACAATCAGAAGTTTAGTCCATTATTGTCGTGGCGGGAAACATGGCAGCCCACAAGCAGATATGGTGCTGGAGATGTAGCTGAGAGTTTTACATCTCGATCCCCAGGCAGCAGGAAGAGAGACATTGGACCTGGCTTGGGTCCTTGAAACCTTGAAGCCCACCCACAGGGATATACTTCCTCTAACAAGGTCACCTACTCCAATAAGGGGACACCGCCTAGTCCTTGTCAAGTAGCATCGTTACTAGTGACCAAACATTCAAGTCTATTAACCTACAGGGGCCCTTCCTATTCAAATCACCACACTGACTTAAAGTAGATGGATAAATGGTTGTGAGCCTACCCTTTAATGACTGAGCTATCCCTCCAGCCCTAGATGGATAAATGGAATACAGACTGTCTACCCAGTGGAAAATGATTCATGAGTAAGGAATGAATAACTGACATTTAATAACATGGATGGATCTCAGATCTTATTAATGGACAAAAGCCAGACTTCTGTTTTATGTGAGTTTTCAGAAAATTCGTAATTGTAGCAACAGGAAGTAGCTCAGAAGTTGCCTGGGGCTGAATCTTGGAAGGGAGGTTTATTATAAAGAATATGAGGAATCATCTCAGAGGTGAAGAGATTCCTAAACTGACTTGGATGAGGGTTGTACAAATGAATAAATCTACTTAAAAAATAAATTTTGTTCATTTAAAATAGATTAGATGGTCAGTGAATTATACTCTAACCCCCAAACTCA